TATATATATATATATATATATATATATATATATCACCACTAAATAAATAAAGATAACGAAATACCATAAGCAGTGACGTCTTAACCTGAAAGTAGAAATTCTGTTATACTGTTAACAAAAGCCAGAGCATTGGCCTCCTAATATAAATGTAACAATAATAAGTATTAATAAATTACATTTTAAACAAGCTTAGCAAAAGTAACATTACTGGAAAATGCATGAAAAATATTATACAAAATTACAATTTCGAACACATGCACACGTGAACATCCGTGCGCGCACAACCACACGCGCTCAAAGAAAAATCAACATGTATATGTATCATAGCATTATGTATGTACATATCTATATAATCTTATATAAATAATATTGCATAAGTTAATAATGTATAACCTCACAATACCAAGTGTTATCTTGTACACTATAGCGAAAAAACAACATCCACTGCACAAGTACCAGGATGCTTTCATAGCAAGGATCAATGTCCCGGTCCTCAGGTGGACATTGGGACATCTAAAGATGCTGCTCCGTTGTTATCTAAAATGTATTTACACGTGCTCAGTCCAACCGCAGCCGTATACCAGAAGTGATGCAGAAGCTGTTAGCATTAAGTGTAGAGAACTGACTGTAAATACCCAAGGCAGAACCCTGACCTTACCACTTTGGCCACTTAACCTCCCTAAACTAAGGTCAGTGGAAAGGAACACTGAAACCTCATATACAAAAATAGGGTCTAGTCTCTCACCCATATATCTGTCAATCACTGCAATCAATTCACAAAAGAGATACTAGATGCTGGACACAGGGTCGGGAGATAAAATACAACCATTTGATAAAAAATATAGTACTGCCATAATCACCAAGAGGTTGTTCTCTCTTGAGGTTTAGTTAAGGTAACCTGGGTCTGTGGAATCCCTGACCTTGTGGTCTGGTGGTGACTATTGTGGAAGGATGAATAGGGTTGGTGGCTGAATTTAAGAAACAGGGAATTGTGGACACAGATAGTGTGGATCTGAGGGTTATAATGGAGTTCAAAGGATTGCAATCTTGGGGCTCTAATAACAGGGAGCTAATGCTGGCAGAAGTAGTGTTGGGAATGTAAAGACTAACAAGGAGTGAGGGAAACAACATGGTTACAAAGACACAGCTTAGTGCTGGGGTTGACAAATAAGTGTGGAGTCACTTTAGGGTGCGAATCAGTAGTATGGGTTGGCATCTAACACACTGGTAAAGTGGGTGGCATTGACAGAGACAGAAGTTCAAGTGGACGAGGTACAGTTACGGTTCTCGCACGGCGTGTGTGGAACGGAGTCATTTCTATTTGAGAAAAATACAAACTGGTATACCAGTACGCAGAAAATGCGTATTGCAAGCAGGAAAAAGACAGGAACATTGCTACGACTGTCGGGGTCACATGCTGACAGTGGTCATAAAAAAGAAGCTCAGTTGAGGCTCTTTTACTATACATCTACAAATTTCGAGCAAGGGGCATGCAGCGTGCATTTTCTATCATTGCAAAGGTGTTTAAGGGACAGTAAGCAACCTCCTATCACCTTTTTATTCTTATTCTTATTTGAGGCCGCCATATCCGGCGGCGTGGAAGGTGTCTGATTGGCTGAAACTTGGTGACCTTGACCAATGGGCGTGGAGGGGGTGGAGCCGTTGCTTGTGGCCCCGCCCCCATTCGCCTTATGATTGGCTGCCCGGGGCATGACAGTTCGGGTTTTCGGTCGTCGCCAACCCTGTAAAGTGACAAGTACCCAACATAGGAGAGAGAAAAATGTGCCCAATAAAAATAAACAAATACAAAATGGTGCGCCACATCAAAAATGTTGGTGCTGCTTAACAAAATTTATTTCTTTTACTAAAAAAGAAGAAATAACAATGTGCTCCGAAACGAAAATTTGTCTTGACAGACCAGGGTGCCCTTAAGGAGAAAGAGGGTCGTGTGTGTCAAAAACAGAACTAGGCATGGAAGTGAACCACACGCCACGGTAAAAAAGAAAAAGAAAATAGAATAAAAATCATACTATTAAAGGAAGCACAATTCTCGTATCAGCTGCTGTGAGAACGAGGATCAAAAATGAAATTGAAGTTTCTTTAATTTCTTCGATAATGGCATGGAATGAGAGGGGGGGAAAAGTTCATAAAAATTCAATTCCATTTCTCTTTCTCTTACAGCG